ACACCTCTGCAAATTGGGATCCATGTGCCATAACCCTCCAAGTGGCTTTAGTGTTTTGCCCACGGCATCTAAAATGACTTTTGTCACCGAGCCCCAACCAGGTTCCTTCTTTCGCGTTGTCTGCAGAGACTTCGGGAAGGACCACGCAAAGGTCGCTGGCGGAGCCCAGAACAACCCACGCAGCCGAGCACCCTCCGGCAGGCAGACAGCACCGATATTCTAATGGCTCTGCAAGTTAGTTATTTCCCTGAACAAAATAAATGTCTGTACAGTCTGTGCCCAGCCCAGCAGTTCTAAGTGCTCTGCTGGCACCAGCGGGAGCCGTGCTCTGAAAGGCTGGGAGCTCGCTATTATCTCCGGTGAAAGCACAATGTTCCAGTACTTCAAGCAAATCAAACAATACTCAGAAGCTCCCCAGCCTCCTTCCTTACCTGCTCTCCCAGCAAACCACGCGCCCGTTCTGCAGAGCACAATAGCCGGCTGCAAATATTGTTGCTGAGCCAAGAGCAGCGGATTAGGCGGCGGTTGGCAACGGCTTTCACAGCCTCCCTGTGCCCCAGCCTTGAGACCATCCTGATGTTTTTACTTATTGGGGAATTCAAGGAGCATTGGAGGGACCTTTCTGCTGGCATGTTCATGCCAGAGCTTGTAGGGTGTAAGGGGGGAGATCTGGGCAGATGTTTGCAGCCTTTTATCAGGGGGTGGAGGGATAGGATGAGGGGTAATGGTTTGAAGCTGAAAGAGGGGAGATTTAGATGAGATATTGGGAAGAAATGTTTTCCTGTGCGGGGGGTGAGGCAGTGGCCCAGGTTGCCCAGAGCAGCTGTGGATGCCCCATCCCTGGAGGGGTTCAAGGCCAGGCTGGATGAGGCTTTGAGCAACCTGGGCTGGTGGGAGGTGTCCCTGCCCATGGCAGGGGGTGGCACTGGATGGGCTTTAAGGTCCCTTCCACCCCAAACCAGTCTGTGATTCTATGATTCTTCTCCTGCAAGGTGCAGGGGACCAAAGCACCGAGCAGCTCTCAGGAGGATCAGGCTTTGTACCCTGTTGTGGCAAAACTCCAGGACCAACAAGGGACACATCACTAGAGACAACTATGGGAGGTTGTGGCCTCAGCGATCACAGCAATCACTGTAGGAACAGAAGGACGTTGCTCATGGACACAGCTGCCTTCCAACCTCCAGCGACTCTGCCTGGGAGCTGGTCATCCCTGGCCTGCTCCAGAAGGAGACATGCCCAACTCCTCTGTTGCTAATGGGATGGAAACACACTAAAAGGAATCCTCTTCACACCCAATCAAGAAATTATTGGTGATTTTTAGGCCACCTGCTTCCATAGCATCACTTCAGTGAGCCTACAGGGAAGAGGAAACCTTGAACTTCACTGGCCATAACCACCCACCACCATGCTGTGCATTTCAGGGCAGATTCTCGGCTGTTGTACCCGGTCACACTTCAGGTACCAGAAGGTACATTAGCAATGTTCTGTTTTGTCTACTGGCCTGCAGTGGTTGATCCCACACTCTCTGCTGGGGTAGTCGCTGTCCCATTCGGTGCTTCCTGGAGGGTTTGATGCACCAGGAGAACGGGGTCCAACGCTGTTCTGAAACTCAGACGAAATATGTGAGAAGTCCTGCAGGGTGGAAAGGAAAGGCAGGGTTACAGGAGCACACACAGCAGATCTAATAACATTTCATGAACACGTTTCCATGCAATGCCCCAAACCCAGCAGTGCAGAGCACGGGGGACCCAGGGACAGCAGCAGGTCCAAGCCCAGGACCCCAAACCACCACGGTGGGACCCTGCAGAAGCAGGTGTCAATGCAGCAACATCTGGTTTACATTCCTCTTCCCTCCTCTTGCTTTTCAAGACCTCCCTCCTCAGGGGTGGTGAACGCCTGCAGAAGACCCGCGGCCATGAGAGCCTTTGCATCAGTGTGCTGGCAATCGAAACCAGTTTTCCACTTCCAGTGCAGCTCCCTCTGCAGGAATGTGTTACCCCAGCATCATGTACAGTAACAAGGCCACGAACACCCGCAATGCTCTCCGTGGGACCATTTTATCTGAAAGCTTTCCCAATTTTTGGGGGTTGGCTTAATTAGGTTACATTAGCCGATGGATATAAACCAGAGTCACGGTAGTTACCTGACCAACAACATGACTTTCCCCAAAACTCCACCCCTAGGGCAGTGGGGTTTTGTTTGTTTTTTTTTTTTTTTTTTTGGTTTTGTTTTTTTACATTAAAGTTTTTCCTAGCAAACATGTATGGAATGTAGCTTCACAAAATGCTGCCCTCAGCAACACCAAATATCCCAATTAAAGGGATTATGAGGATCTCCTTTTCTGCTCATTTCGGGACTATCAGTGAATTACAGAAGCCACTTTTGCTTCTGCAGAGCCAAAGCTCAATCACTGTGCTGGAGAAGTTACTTGGGATACTCTGAGCAGGTTGGAAATTAAAATCTGATTGAGCATCTGACCTTCCCACATGTGCTGTCTTTTTATTACAGTCAGGGATAGCTGTGCTTCCACATCCCTGCTCTCCTTTGGTTTTCTTCCACTGCAATATCTGTTCCCAAATGAACAATTTCTGTTTTCTCAAAGTTATCCCCAAACTGGATGGGTCACGATATGGGAAAGAAAGCTTTGTTCATTGCTGAAGTACTGTATGAATTTGTGATATATAGCTCGTAAACACATTAAACACAAATTATTCAGCCAGCTGGGCGAATACTACAGTTGAAAGTATCATCGAGTCAATGGTAGCAGCTGTGAGTTCAGAGCATATGTCCCCCACTGGGAAGAGTCCGTCCAGTTCATATTCCAGATGGAGAAACTCTGCAAACCTCTCGTCTCATCGTTTGTATTCTGGCAAGTTCTCTATAAGGTATAGGAATGTTTTTTGCTATAGCAATTTTTTCCTCCAGATAGATTTTCCTAATAGCAGGTTTGAAGAGGAGACTCTGACCCTGCAGGCTGATGCCCTGGGTGTGGGCTGCACCGGGCACGGCAAAGGATAGTTTCCTTCAGCAGGTTTTCCATCTTCATGGCACACGTCTATAGGATTTGTGTTGCTGCTGTGCTGTTAGTACAGGCAAGCACACATCGCATGCTCTCGGCTCTCTGCCACGAAAGTGATTTTTTCCTATTGCCAGGCAGTTTGGGGAAAAATATGGATTTTATATTTTGGTTGTGCCATTCCCTCTATCCTTCTCCTCCTCCTCCTGGCAGCCCCTCTGGATCCCTGCCATTATCCCAGGCACTTCCAGTGCTCCCTTTTCTTAGCCATGTCACAAGAAGGGTTTCTCACCGAGTACCCAGCCCATCGTTTCAGATGGCTGACTCTTGGCGACTCCCCCCAGACAAGGCTGGGGGACCACGTGCACAAGGAGCTTTTACCAGGGGCAGCCCAAGTTCCCGCATCTCCCCCTGCCGAAAGAGCCTTCATTGCTCCGTTGCACAAATCTGCCCCATTTCTGGGGGTGCTGGACAGCTCAGCACTCTTGAAAACATCACCCTCAAACTATGAGATCCACAAGCTGATGGAGCTAGGAGAAGACTCCCCCGGGGACAACACCGACACCCAACACCCCCAAACCACCCAAAAACCAACAGACCCAACGGGAAAAAGGGCAACGGCGCGGTTCGTGCTGCAAACCCTTCTCCCTCTGAGCACCTACCTGCTGCCCGGGAGGCGAGGCGTTGATGGGGGGCTGTACCTGTAGTGCCATGGGAGGGGACAGGAGGGGCTGCTGGGAGACCTGCTGCATGCTGAGGGGCTGGCTGAGGAGGGAGCTCTGCGGGTGGTGCAAGGAGAGCTGGGGGGGCTGATCTGGAGGGAGGGCGGGCGGGAGGCACTGATGCTGGGCAGCATGGGTTTGGAGGTGAGGGGCCGGGAGAGGCTGGGGTGGGGGTGGCTGCGGTAGTTCTGCAGGTCCGACGGGGACAAGAAGGAACCCAAGCCGGGGTAGGGCGAGGAAGGTTGCGGTGGCATCGGGTACATGGGCTGTTTGGGGGGGATCATTTTGGAAGGAGGGTTGCTCGGGGTGCTTTTCGTCTCCCCCTGGTCGGCAGAGCTCTGTGGGAAAACAGAAGGGAGGGTGATGAGGAAGGCAGGGAGGATTCAGCTGATCACACACTGATGGGCAGAGCTGCTGCCAGGACAGTCACG